TCTTCATTACGTTAGACAACGATGCGATTGGCGGAGCCGGTCTTGTACTCTTTTTTGGTAGTACTCTAGTATTTTTCCTCAAATCAAATTGCACGTCACCTTAGTTTGCCATATTTTATGAAGTCCACTCATACCTTCTCAAGTAAATTGTTGAAGAAAGGTCCCAGCTCATTTTGGGATGTTTTCGAAGTTAGGCGCTGTTGTCAGTCCTTTTGAAACCCAAGGGGCCTAGTTAATTCGAGCGCAGTCTAATTAATCTCGGGGTAACTTGCAAGTCTTCAAAGTGGATATTTTTGTCCTGGACATGTCAAGTTATAGGAGTTTTCCACCTCTAACCAGTAAACTGGATTTTTGGGGTTGAGATTAGGTGACGTCAATGCTAATGATCTCGTCGGTTCGACTAAACTAATCGACTAGCCACTCGGACAGCCTTTGGAATCTTACAAAGGATAAGTTCTTCAGTTTGAGTGTGAAACGCAATCCGATTTTTCTTTATTTATATCCTTACCCAATGCACCTGACTGCATGTCCATTGGAAATTACCAATGTTGGCTGCTTTGGTGGTGCTGAGGTGGAATTTTTTTTGTATCAAAAGTTGGGTACCCTTTCACGACAGTGGAAACACGCTAAGCTGGAGTTGGGATACTTTGTTTGTACTTGGTACGTCATTCGAGATGAGTCAGCCTCCGATTCGCGTCATTGTCTGCATTAATAGACTGTTGCACGGTTTATTCTTGCCTTCTTCAACCTCGAAAACGTCTGGTTTTTTTGGCGCGGGTAGTAGGTTTCCGAATATACCATTTCCGGAGTTATTTTAGGTGTTGGGATAATACTCGGGAAGCTTTAGTCATAAATTCGTTTGCAACAAGAGCAAATAAGATTGGTACCAACTCATTGTGTCTAGGATGTCTAAAACCAACTGTACCTACTAGTTCATGTTTATTTCCCCAACTCAAAATTGCAGTAATTTTCCAATCCTTCAACGCTAATAAATCAAAATTGCTGTTTGTGATGTGAATTTGGTGAAGAAGCCTGGAGTCAGAGACGAATTGTTGGTTTTAAAAAGCGCTGCTCGAACGGTATATTCAAGCATCTGAGTATGGAATTTTTTTATTTGTGTCTCCTTTCAGGCGGATATTTATGCTCAACGTTATTTCTTGTGGTTTGAGTGCTTCCCGTGACGTAACACTACTTAATATCGCAATGATAGACTTGTCCTCTTTTGTTGTATTCACGGTCCTCGGCCTTGCTATCGAAAATAAAGCTCTACAGTGGCGAAGTTAGTCAAAACTATGCAACCCTTGAACGATTTGCAGTGAAAACGGCGTTCATGCTGTCATGCTTTAGGGAGTCAGCAAGATTTAAGCTTGGGAGCCGACATTTGTTCATAACTTTCGTGTAAATACCCTACCGGTAGTAATAAGAGATACCTATCGCCGTTATACACATTATGCTTCTGGGGCGTGACGTCGGCAAAGCCGCTTTTTGCTAAACTATATTTCACGTATCAATAAGTCAAATAGTGGGGTGTTTATTATTCTGGACAATGATTAAGACTTCAGTTTCTCGTAAATAAAACTGGAATTTGGAGACAAAAGCGGATAATTAGGTGTACCTTCGGCGTCTATAAGAGTCATTAAGAGCCTTGTCACATTTCGTTCGTGAGGCTTCAATGAAAAGTATTTGGTTATTCTGTTGTGTATATAACTGATAGTATGTAAACTGGGTTGGCTAGATCTTTTAGTCCAAACAAGCTTTTACTTGGGGTAAAGGTGATTCACTTTCCTCCGTTAACTCTGTTTATTAAATGCATACATTATTCCTAAGATCATGCGGGCGATGTGCCTAATTATGCATATGAACATTAGCATAACCTAACATGCTTTCTTAGTCTTCTTTACATTAGAATGTTCTATCCCGCCTTCGTAGGTGAGCTCCTTCTCCCACGACGTTGTTAAGATTGTAACGCGCGTCAACAGCATCTTCCAAGTTGTAAATGCAGTAAGCTTGTTATTCCATTACGAGTTGCATTACCATTTGATATGATACGTGATGGACTGATCTCACATTGAGTAAGCCAAAAGGGAAATAATGTTGCAATTGTTTCTTGCTACTTTGTCAATACCAACCAGATAACTGTCCTTTAATTCTTGAGGCTGCAACTGCATTCAAAATTACTCAGGTATGGTAGAGATTGACATGAAATCTAGGATCTGGGTGCTTTTAGTTGAAGCATTGTATTTTTGCACTATTTTTAGCATGCTTTATGGTGGTAACTGAGGTAGGCAATACGTTTTGACAAATGGCACGGATTTTCATTTATTGCGTAATGCAACTTTTGTTCAATTTGATGATACCTTAATTTCTTCCAAGAAACGCATTTCTTTTATTTCAGTTGTTTGCTCAATTCAACGTACAACTTGTCATTGTGGGTTTAGAGATATGGGAAAAGAATCGTGTGAATCTTGAGGCGGAGGAACACTTTTTGAAAACACTTGCCAGTTTTAAGCGTGCAGAAGTGAATGTTCGTCACGACTGCCTGTTTGCCCTTCTGTAAGCACCTTTCTTTCCATTTTCACATATTGGTGGGATCGAATCCACTCAACCCTTTGTCTCTCCATTTAACCAGGCACCATTTAGGCGCCTGCAGATGTGTACACTCTCATTTAGCGAAGGTTGGGCAGTACTTTCGTTAACCGGCTTCAAATAGCATACTTGCAGTCCCAATTTGTGTAAACATGAATTGACTCAGATTTCGTTGAATTCTCAAGGTTTCTCTAAACTATCCAACTCAAGTGCCACTTTTCACCTTAGGATATTTCTTTGTTGATTCGCAGTGAGAGGTTTGTTATCTGGTCGAAAGACACTGCAAAGCAGGCAGGAACAAGAGCCAATAATTGGACAGCTTTTGTGAAGTGAACGCAATCTATTGTCCAACTTTAAACTTACTGTGTTACAACTTTTCGCTAGCCCGTTCTGGTTGAAAATGTAATCATTTCACTCAAATTCATCCAAAAATGATCTTGAATCCCACCATTTGCTCAAAGACGTTCGTTGAAGTATGCAACTTTACCTTGATATAATATCTAACTTGGAAGAAAGCATCGTAGTCGTATTGTCGATATCCACTCTTTCGCTTGATTTGGGATTCTAGTTCCACAACTATATCAGCTTGATTTGTTTTTTTGCTACACTATGTCCCCTTTTAGTGGAGACACCGATCAAACTTCAAACACTCGTGGTCGAGCTAACAGAGAGGCCATGTGCAAATACTCATCATGTGTCTCATTCGTTCGTGTAAGTTTATTCCCCTCCCGCCCTCTTCCACTCGGTAGAACCTTTAATGCGTTAGTCATTAAGCTAAGTGAAGTTATGCTATGTTTAATGCGGGTCGTGTCGTTTACTTGCAAGTCTAAACATCAAGCTGTAAACGTTTTTTTTTCTTTTCCAACTTTCAACGTTACTGAAGCTTATTTGAACAAGTCTTCTATTGGGTCGGCAGGGTTGGATTTTTGGGTTGGGTTAGGAGTGCGATGAAAAGTATTGTTACTTCAAGTTTATTTTCATTTTAACGCCTTTAAGGACTCACAATACATGGAGGTAAACGAAACCGCCCGGACTGCGGCTCACGAATTAGGTCACAATTTCGGCCTCCGACACGACACCGAGAATTGCGAGTGTCAGGGTTGCATCATGGCTACTGGTGTTGAGTAAGCTTGCTTTTCAAAACTTGGTCTATGGCATCTCATGTCTGCAATTCGTTTGTTAACTCTCTGCGTTTGATTGTTCCTGACCAAATAGTGAAGCACTAATTCTGTTAAACTATGGCGTCCGGAGTTTATTTCATCAGGCAGAGTTATCGGACATTAGCAGCTCTCTTTATTGAGTGAACTCACAATATCGTTGCATTTTCTTACTTTTTATGGCTGCTTGGCCTTCTGAATAACCAAAGTTCTTTTTACTTGCATTGACTTACCATTTGCCGGAA